CGTAGAAATTGGTACAGTCACTTATGTTTCCTAGAGGATAACAACTGTTGGATGTTCTTAGACTTTTTCCACTCGTGCCACAAGTTTTTGTTTGTAAAATGTAACAACTACTTGATGGATTTGCATGAAATTTGATTGGATTGGCGCAAAATTTGGTACAAGCATTCATGGTTTTCCAGAGGATGAACCCTAGTGACATTAATGATAATCTGACTTTCCCTCTAGCGCCACCATGAGATTGACCAATGGGATTTATGGTCTCAAGAACTGTGTCCGATTTCAATGAAATGAATCACATATTTTCACTTTCCCCTCAGCGTGAATTGAAATATCTTTAGTGATACTCTTACTTTGTATGTAGTGCCTTCATCAGGACAACATTTGACTAAATACTTGCTAACATAATGGCGTTCCACAGACAATGAGATATTTAGCACGTTAATATCAACACTCAGACCCTCTGTTTTAAGAACAGCCTCACAAAGTCACTATCATGACCTTAGACTAGAAAGTTTGGTCCGATAAAGAATCCTTTACAAATTAAGAGAGGATCAAAATCAGGAGGACAAAACCTAGATTACACAACACATGTTTTAAAGCATGGAGACCGCCTTGATGGAGGTCGTTGCTCTCAGACCGACCTCCAGTTGTTGAGCATAACTACAGCGTTGCTTTGTTCAATCCTTCACGCTGTAGTGTGTCAATGTGTAATGTTAAAACAGATAAAGTAATTATCGTAGGTGACTTTAATATTCATGTTGACGATGATAAAAATAGCCTTACTGTTGCATTTAACTCTATATTAGATTCTGTTGGTTTTTGTCAGAGTGTAAATAAACCAACCCACTGCTATAATCACACTCTCGACCTTGTTCTGACTTATGGTATTGAAATTGAGCAACTATTAGTCGAACCGCATAATCCTGCTTTATCCGACCATTTCTTAGTAACTTTTGAAGTACTGTTACGAGACTACAAAGCATTAGTCAAAAGCTCCTGCAGCAGAAACCTATCTGTTAGTGCTATAGCCAAATTGAAGGAAGAGATTCCACCAATACTTAACTCGATAGCATGTCTGCATGTAAGGGAGGAAACTTATACAAAATGTACACCACCCCAAATTGATCATGTTGTTGATAGTGCTACAGATGCGCTGCGAATAAAATTAGACTCTGTTGCTCCTTTGAAAAAGAAGAAAATAAAACATAGATTAGCTCCATGGCATAATGCTGAAACCCGCAAAATAAAGCAAAAGTCGAGACAACTTGAAAGGATATGGCGTTCCACTAAACTTGAAGAATCTCGTTTAATTTGTCATATTACTCTCAATGAATATAAGAAAGCACTGCGTAAAGCGAGAGCAGCCTACTACTCTTCATTAATAGATGAGAATAAGAATAATGCAAGATTTCTTTTCAGCACTGTAGCCAGGCTGACAGAAAGCCACAGCTCGATTGAGCCTTCTATTCCCATAGCACTCAGTAGTAATGATTTTATGTGCTTTTTTAACGATAAAATTGTTACTCTTAGAAACAAAATTAATGACCTCTTGCCTTTGACCAGTATAGTGATATCAACAGCTCCCGGAAACGTAAGTTCTAATATTACACTAGATAGTAAACTAGAATGCTTTTCAGCCATAAACCTTGAACAATTAAATTCAATGATTCTCTCTTCTAAACCATCAACGTGTATGTTAGACCCAATTCCAACTAAGCTGTTGAAGGAAGTTTTTCCATTAATTAGCACTTATTTATTAAATATTATGAATATGTCTTTATTATCAGGCTATGTTCCACAATCATTCAAAGTAGCAGTGATAAAACCGCTTCTTAAAAAGCACAACCTCGATCCAGAGGTTTTAGCCAACTATAGACCTATTTCTAATCTTCCGTTCCTCTCAAAAATTCTTGAGAAAGCGGTCGCAAAACAGCTGTGTGATTACTTAAAAAACAATGATTTATTTGAAGATTGTCAGTCTGGCTTTAGAACACATCATAGCACAGAGACAGCTCTGGTTAAAGTCACAAATGACATTCTAATAGCCTCTGACAAGGGACGTGTCTCTATTCTTGTTTTGCTCGATCTCAGTGCTGCATTTGATACTATCGACCATGATATCCTATTGCAAAGACTAGAGCACTTAGTTGGCATACAGGGAACTGCTTTAGGCTGGTTTAGGTCCTATCTATCTGAACGCTCTCAGTTTGTACGTGTCAATGATGAATCTTCCACTGCAAACCAAAGTTAGCCATGGAGTGCCACAGGGCTCAGTGCTCGGACCTATTTTGTTCACATTATATATGCTGCCGTTAGGCAATATTATAAGGAATCATTCTGTAAACTTTCATTGTTATGCGGATGATACTCAACTATATTTATCAATCAAGCCTGATGAAATTAATCATCTAAATAAAATTCAAGACTGCCTTAAGGACTTAAAAACGTGGATGACCTTAAACTTTTTGATGTTAAACACGACCAAAACTGAAGTTATTATACTTGGCCCGAAGAATCTACGAAACGAATTATCTAAGGATATACTAACTATGGATGACATTAATTTGGCCTCCAGTGAGACTGTAAGGAATCTTGGTGTTATATTTGATCAGGATTTATCCTTTAACACCCACATAAAATCAATTTCAAGGACCGCCTACTTCCATCTACGTAACATTGCAAAAATCAGGCATATCTTGCCTCAAAACGATGCAGAGAAACTAGTCCATGCATTTGTTACTTCAAGGCTGGATTATTGTAACTCTTTATTATCAGGGTGTACCAAGAAGTCAGTCAAGTCGCTTCAGCTGATTCAAAATGCTGCAGCTCGTGTACTAACCAGAGTTAGGAAAAGGGACCACATTACTCCTGTTCTGGCTGCCTACACTGGCTCCCTATAGAACACAGGATAGAATTTAAAATTCTTCTTCTCGCCTACAAAGCCCTTAATGGGCAGGCGCCATCTTACCTTAAATAACTCATTATACCCTACTGTCCTACTAGGGCATTGCGTTCCTAGAATGCAGGGTTGTTGGTTGTTCCTAGAGTCTCTAAAAGTACAATGGGAGCCAGAGCCTTTTCTTATCAAGCTCCACATTTGTGGAATCAGCTTCCAGTTTGTGTTCGGGCGGCAGACACCCTATCCGTTTTTAAGAGTGCGCTTAAGACCTTCATTTTTGATAAAGCTTATAGTTAGGGCTGATTAGATTCAGCCCCTAGTTTTGCTGATATAGGCTTAGTTTGTCGGGGGACACCTTACTTCTTCCTTCTCTCTGTCTATACCTGTGTACTCTCATGTTCCCATTAACCCAGCTTCCCCAAATGTCTTTCTTTTTGGTGTCTATATACGCTGGGATCCGGAGTCATGGATGATCCTGCGCTCCTCTGTCCTGGATCGCGAGCCCTGGATCTTGAGTCGTGGCTGTGGTCCTGGATCATAGGTCCTGGATGGATATCCTCGTGGATTCATCTTCCTATTATACACACATGCATTTCCAAACATTTGGACTACCTATGTTGCAAATGTATTATATTTTCAATTTACACACGGCATCTATTGCACGTCTGTCCGTCCTGGGAGAGGGATCCCTCCTCTGTTGCTCTCCCTGAGGTTTCTCCCATTTTTCCCTTTAAACTGTGGGTTTTCTTCGGAAGTTTTTCCTTGTACGATGTGAGGGTCTAAGGACAGAGGGTGTCGTATTGTCATACTGATATTTTGTACAAACTGTAAAGTCCACTGAGACAAATGTAACATTTGTGATATTGGGCTATATAAATAAACATTGATTGATTGATTAACCAACCTTCACTAAATCTAAGAGCTGGAAAACATATTCGCTTTCTTCCGAGCTCACAGAGAGGTCAAAAATATATTTATATTGGCTGCAACACAAACACCTGACTTCAGACGCTCCCTGTCGTTATGATCTGTTTTGAAACCTTTCATAATGGTGTGTTATGAACATGATCAAAGTGCAGTGTGCAGTGTGTGTGTGTGTGTGTGTGTGTGTGTGTGTGTGTGTGTGTGTGTGTGTGTGTGTGTGTGTGTGTGTGTGTGTGTGTGTGTGTGTGTGTGTGTGTGTGTGTGTGTGTGTGTGTGTGTGTGTGTGTGTGTGTGTGTGTGTGATGTACAGAGGGTGGTATTTGCCTTTTTATTGTGCAGTGTGTAATCATTGACTAAAGCTGAAGGTTCAGAGTGTTTTTATAGAAATTCAGAGCGTTCTGCCCGTGAGAGCCATGTGTGCAGCCGTACAATTATATTTACTGTCTTTTATTATTCTGCATAAAACACAATTACTTTTGAATTTTGATTAGAAAAACATCCCTCCTTTCCTCCTACGTCCTGATTGTTTTTACTATCTATACGCAACCTTTGGCATTTTTTCAGTATTTTGTAATGCTTTTTCTTTCCGGTTTGATGCCTCATTTTGTAACCCATTCTTTTATATATGTTTGTTGTTCTTAACAAAGTGGTTTCTGTCATCTTTTCTTTGGCATCCTGACTTCATTTTTGGGCAATTTCCACCAACATGTGACCATTTATAGACTCAGAGAGACATTAACAGGAGAAAGAGTACAAGTCAAAAGATGGCTGTAACATCTCTATAAATTAGTAAAGAAATAGTCCTTGGAAGGTTCCAAGGTTAAGTAAAATGTGTTTAAGGCGAGGACTTAAGGGTAAAAACAGAGGTCTTGAAAAATATCTTATCTTACATGCTAAAAGAAAAAAACGTCAAAAAAACTTGATTTCATACAAAGTTCACCGCGGAGAAACACAGAAGTGAAACTGCCGCGTCATGTTAAACAAAACATGACTTTAGAGATGAGTTAGCAATATGAGAGCAGACCGTTAGCTTAGCTTAGCACAAAGAATGGAAACAAAGGGGAACTGTTAGCATGGTACCAGCTCAGTTCTGTACGGGGATTTAGTTTAGTGTGTGTTTTAAATGACATTAACTTTTCTCACATTTCTAAACTGTTTTTGTCATTTTCTCCCTCAGTGGCCTCATGAAGCCGGGACTGAACGCCATCATGGGAGCAACAGGAAGTGGGAAATCATCGTGAGTCTGAACTGAACTTTAATATTTACTTCATATGCTAATTTAAACTTCGACAACCCGACATCTCAGAGGGACATACTGTAGTTTTCATCCAGTGGAAAGCATGTATCTGCAGCTGGTGATGAACTAAAGCAGGGGTAGGCAAGTAAGTTTGGCCTTGGGCCAATTTTTTGCTGAGCCGCAAGATGGCGGGCCAGAACATAATCAAGCCTAATTCAAGGAATTTATTTTGGTAAGAGGGCGCAGCGCCCCTGTTCCCCGGTTCAGAAAAAACTCTATCGCTGATGATCCTCCATCAACACTCTGATGCGCAGTCAGATCCGCTGATTGGTTCACTGATGATATAGGCGCCCAATCCAGAGCCTCTGGCTAGACCCGCCCAAAGGGAGGCTCGTCCTCTCTAGCCCCATTTCAGTCCCAAAGCCAGGGCTATTATCTGTATTTTAACAGATTTATCTTTTAAATTGAGGTGTTGCCTATTAATTGTTCTCTTCAAAGTTTATTTTTCTCTGAAATTGTAGGGAGGATGGTCCTCCCTTTCCTCAATGGACGAGCCTCCACTGAGTAAAGTAGAGTTATTAACTAGGTAGCAGTGTTATTTAACATACTTTTATTCTGATAAGTATTGTCAAGTTCTCTGGGTTTTGGCATTTATTTGAGTGTTTGCACATTTGAGAGGCTTGAGGGGCAACAGAGGACGCATGGACAACTCGAATCCTTTTTCCTTTTCTTTATTTCAACTTTTCAAGGACACATTAGGATTCTTTCAGGTTGAAAACCTTTAAAAAATACCAAAGGACAAAATAAATCAATTACAGCAGTTTTGCTTTGCAATTTAATATATTATAACCTAAATTAATCAGTAACCAAGTATTTTACTCAAACTCAATGTATTTAATAGTTAAATAAGTACTTTAATTGACCTGGTTCCCCACAACCACACATTTGCCATATGTGACCCGCTCTATCGAAATCAGTCGAAAGTCGCAACGGCTCATTTCAAAATAAACGTGGATTTGCGTAAAAAAAATAGTTTTTCGGGGTTCGGGTGTTTTGTTTGATTTTAAATAAACAAAGTCTTGGATTTCAGAATATGAAATTTTTATTTCCAAAATCACACAATAAATACATGTTTGAAGCTTGTAAAAGGAAGATGACAGCTCTCCCTCGCCACTCTGCTCTTCCACAGCGCCGCTTCCCCTCCCTCCGCTGACATTATGAATGTAAGCGGATATGTCGGGACAGAATTTATTTTACCGGACAAAATTTGAAACTCACCGGTCATGTTTCAATAATAATAATAAGAATTGTGTAGCAGAGTTTCCGTTAGCAGGTAATCTGCTGATGTTTAAAACTCAGTTAATGGGGCTCATTTTTATATTGCTTCAGTTTATAATCGTTACAGATCGAAAAGTTCAGATTAATTTTTCAATAAATGATTCCACAAACAACAAAAAACATAAGTATTACATTCAAACAAAGTACTTGTAGATGAAGACGTACATTATTCAAAAGTTTACATTGAAGGGATAGTGGAAATCCGCGAATTTTGGGTTTAACTTATGTATTTTTATTAAAAAATAAGCATAATAAACAATTTTTTTTAATTTCATCCGCCTAGTTTCATTTTATTTTCAATTTTACTGCGCCCTCTCAATGAAACGAAATACTTCGGGAATCGTCGGGAATCTTCGGGTGATGACGAGAGCATAGGAAGACGGGCACAAACAATGGCGGACATTCAATAGCATTTGCATGTGAATAGCCGACCTTTATTATGGTGAATAGATGTGTTTTGTATGGCTGTAGGGCGACAGAAAAATTCTACGTGACACAACGACATTGGATTAACCTTGAGATGCGTTTTTATTCCGTTGAACACAACTTTTGATCACAAATCAAAAAAGGTAAGACGTAATTATTGTAATATTTTTGGAACCGGATGTTGTTTACTTTCTCTTTTCTGGCTGATAGCTCCAGGAATTCGAGGTCTTACAGTGATGACATTACATGTGTGGAATCTGTGGAGTCTCAGCTTTAAATCGTATATCTTGTTTGTGCAGTTAAGATAGTAATAAGGGCATTTCCTACAAGTGTGTTGTGTGTAAAAAAGCGTTAGCATTAGTTAGCATTGTTTCGCTCAATGCTAATTCAAAGGCTTGGTATTACTCTTGTGTTTTTTCTAGCTAACAATTGTTCTTATTGTCAGTTAGCGGAGTTTCTTACCTTTAAAAGGGTATGAAACATTAATAGTTTCATAAATGTTAAGAAGCCCTGAGACATGTGAGAGAAAAAAAACAGTGGGAGGGGTGCACTGGGGGGACCTTCGGGCTTAACTGGTTAACAATGATTAATATTTGTAAAGGCTACAGGTGATCTTAAGATGCGTGAGCTATGCTTAGGGACCTACCAGTCAAGATTATTTGTGCGTAGGGGTGCATCATCTGGCGCCTGGTCCTGGTCATCCTCGCCATTGCCCATGCCGTGAACCATCACCTCGGGCTCGGGCTCGAACAAATAAGGACGTAATGGTCCATCGTCTGGCTCAATATTGTCACCATCGTCGCTTACTGAACCGGATTCAGATTCAGTTCCTAAAACGACATTTACGTAGGAAAGCCGAGAGGATGTTTCTGACTCGCTATCATCACTGGATACCTCGTACAATCCTTCTTCTTTGTCTGGTATATTTGCCCTTCCACGTTCATTCTGCATAGACGCCATGGTTTGTTATCGTATCGTCTTCCTAAGTTTTCGTCACTTCCGGTTTGGCTGAGTCGAACATTTCGTTTCTAAAAAACTTCGGGGAAGCTGCAATAAAGTGCTTCTAACATGCGTAAGGCAATTATTATATTTTTTTAATCAGGTGTGATTGTTTTGGTACGTAATTATGCTTGTATATAAGTTAAAACGAAACTATTTGAGGTTCCATTTCTACTATCCCTTTAACTTTGAATAATAACACGGGAGAAACGGATGCTCTCTTTTCCCCTCTCCCTCCCTCTCTCTCCTGACAGCCTGTCAGTTTCTCATGCAGCTCGCTAAACAGTGGGCGGGGCTTCAGATTATGCAGAGCTGCTTGTCTCCGTCAGACTCAGCAGCTGATCTGATCTCTCTCTCGGGTCCGGTTATACTTCACTCGCGTTTATGACCATATCGATCAGATCCGGCTCTCCTGATCGACCTTTATAGAGAGCACCGATCAAACTATTAAGAGTGAATATCGATCGGCGGCTAACGGAAACCCTGATGTGCGACTGTGGTCCTATGTTGTAAAAAAAAAAAAAAAAAAAATCTCAAAATAATATTTTATTTTTGATTCTCAAAATTACGGGCCAAATATTATTGCTGGCGGGCCAACAATGGCCCGCGGGCCGCCTGTTGCCGACCCATGAACTAAAGGATAATGTGTTCCTTTACATGGTAGCGAAGCTATTTTTATTATTCAAATTAATGAATAATTACTGCAAGACATTTGTAAAATAACATATAACTAAAATATGGGAAGAATTATCCAGAAAATGTCTTAAAATAATTGACAAAAATATCAGAAAATAATGTGAAAAGTAAAAATACAAATTATTATTAAAATATGTGAAACGTTGTATGAGTGTGAAATGTGTTAAATATCCCAAAAACTATGAGTAAAATATATTTAAAAAATAAGCAAAAAATATGTGAAAAATTCCAAAAAGAATGATCCAAAATACAAGAAGAACTGTTTGTTAAACAAATAAAATATGTGTCCAATCAGCCCTCTAACTTGAATCTCCCTACATCAGGTTTCTGGACGTGTTGGCGGCGAGGAAGGACCCGGCCGGGCTCTCCGGAGAGGTTCTGATCGACGGAGCTCACCAGCCTCCAAACTTCAAGTGTCTGTCGGGATACGTGGTGCAGGTGAGAGGAGGTCAGACAGGAAGTAGAACTGCAAGAGCCAATCAGGCGTCTACAAACATTCATGGTTTCCAGAGGATGAACCCTGGTGACATTAATGATAATCTGACTTTCCCTCTAGCGCCACCATGAGAGTGACCAATGGGATTTATGGTGAAATGTCTCGAGAACTGTGTCCGTGCAATTTCAATGAAATGAATTACTGATGTGCACTTTCCCCTCGGCATGAATTGAAATGACTTTAGTGATACTATTACTTTTTATTTAGTGCCTCCTCTCCTCTCTCCTCTCTCCTCTCCTCTCTCCTCTCCTCTCCTCTCCTCTCCTCTCCTCTCCTCTCCTCTCCTCTCCCTCTCCTCTCCTCTCCTCTCCTCTCCTCTCCTCTCCTCTCATCTTCTCTTCTCTTAACAGCGGGGTTAACAGGGTTTGTTGTAGTTCTGGTTCTGATCATTCTTCATGTTCTCCATGTTTCTTCTTCACGTTCTTCTTCATGTTCTCCATGTTTCTTCTTCACGTTCTTCTCCATGCTTCTTCAGGACGACGTGGTGATGGGTACTCTGACCGTCAGAGAGAACTTCACCTTCTCGGCGGCGCTCCGGCTGCCGGCCTCCGTCTCTCAGGAGGAGAAGGAGCAGAAAGTGGAGAAGCTGATCCAGGAGCTGGGGCTCGGACGGGTGGCCGACTCCAGGGTGAGGAGGGGGGGAAGAGGAGGAGGAGGAGGAGGAAGAGGAGGAGGAGGAGGAGGAGGAGGAGGAGGAGGAGGAGGAGGAGGAGGATGGAGGAGGAGGAGAGGAGGAGGAGGAGGAGGAGGAGGAGGAGGAGGAGGAGGGGGGGAAGTACAATCAAAAAATAAACAAATGCAGAAAGCTAGTAATGGGAACATATGTGGTCATTTTAAATGCCAAACAAAACTAAGAATGATATAAATGATCCCTCCAAATCTACAGGGAAAATCCTGATTAAGTTATGAGACCAAATCTACCACATTTATGGGAAACACCCTTTTTAACTATTCTTGGATCAAATATGAGATATTCACCGAGACTCAGTCGAACATTTATGGGGAAAAAACCGTAATATTCTCAGAGATAAAGTGGTTAGTTTACGAGAACTAAAATCACATATTTAAAAATACCCTCTGAGATTAAAACTGTGTGTGTGTGTGTGTGTGTGTGTGTGTGTGTGTGGTGTGTGTGGCTGTGTGTGTGGGTGTGGTGTGTGTGTGTGTGTGTGTGTGTGTGTGTGTGTGTGTGTGTGTGTGTGTGTGTGTGTGTGTGTGTGTGTGTGTGTGTGGTGTGTGTGTGTGTGTGTGTGTGTGTGTGTGTGTGTATGTGTGTGTGTGTGTAGGTGGGCACTCAGCTGATCCGGGGTATTTCGGGGGGGAGAGAGGAAGAGGACGAACATCGGCATGGAGCTGATCATCGACCCCCCCGTCCTCTTCCTGGACGAACCCACTACTGGGCTGGATGCTAGCACCGCTAACTCTGTACTGCTGCTGCTGAAGAGGTAACACACACACACACACACACACACACACACACACACATACACATTACATTACATTGCATTTTGCTGACGCTTTTATCCAAAGCGACTTACAATAAGTACATTCGACCAGGAAGACACAACCTTGAAGAAAACAGAATCATAAAGTACATCAGGTTTCATAGAGCCAAACATTTCAAGTGCTACTCAACTGGCTTTAGATAAGCCAGTCCTTTATTAGTATATAAGTGCTTTGTTAATAGTTCTATCGCTCGAAGTGGAGTCGAAAGAGATGAGTTTTCAGTCTGGAAGGTGTGCAAGCTTTCTGCTGTCCTGATGTCAATGGGGAGCTCATTCCACCATTTTGGAACTTGGGTCCCCCTCGCAGCGAGGGCGCAGCGAGTCGTTTGGCTGATGCAGAGCGTAGTGCACGCGCTGGGGTGTACGGTTTAACCATGTCCTGGATGTAGGAAGGGCCAGATCCATTCGCAGCATGGTACGCAAGTACCATTGTCTTGAAGTGGATTCTAGCAGTTACCGGAAGCCAGTGAAGGGAGCGGAGGAGCGGAGTGGTGTGGGAACATTTAGGAAGGTTGAACACCAGACGAGCCGCTGCATTCTGGATGAGCTGCAGAGGTCGGATGGCACATGCAGGTAGACCAGCCAGGAGGGAGTTGCAGTAGTCTAGGCGTGAGATGACGAGAGCCTGGACCAGAACCTGCGTCGCTTTCTGGGTCAGCTGGGGACGTATCTTCCTGATGTTGTAAAGCGTGTATCTGCAGCAACGGGTTGTAGCAGCTATGTTTACGGTGAAGGACAGGTTGTTATCTAGGGTCACAGCCAGATTCCAGATACACACACACACGTACGTACGTACGTACGTACGTACGTACGTACGTACACACACACACACAGCAATTATGGTGGTAATTTGGAGTAAAAACACACAACTTTTCCAAGTAAAAAATGTAAAAACAGTGACTTTCATCTCAGATTCACTTCTCCTGGTTTTTACCCCTGTTTCCCAAAAAGGCTTTCATTCAGCTTCGTACTGTGTCTGTGACCAGGTAGGAACCTTTCTTCCGCTCTTGTTTCTGCAGGATGGCTAACAGCGGGCGCACCATCATCCTCTCCATCCACCAGCCCAGATACTCAATCTACCGTCTGTTCGACAGCCTCACGCTGCTGGTGCACGGGAAACAGGTCTATATACTGTGTTTAGCTCATGTTCTACCTCCTTGCTTCACTTTGCTCTACTTTGTCTCACTTTTGGTCAATCTGGTTTATCTTTCTTTTCTGCCTATTTTATTATTCTCTTAAATCACATCAGCTTCTATAATATTCTACGTAGTGAAATGAATGAACACATGAACTCGTTCCTCTCTAAAGGTGTACCACGGCTCGGCTCAGACCGCTCTGGACTACTTCTCTGAAATCGGTAGGCAGGTCAAAAGAAATCCAAAGTAACCGAAAACATGAAAGAGAGGAAGTGAACTACATGTGATTGTGTTTGGAACTACATTTCCCAGGGTACACCTGTGAGCCCCACAACAACCCGGCTGACTTCTTCCTGGACATCATCAACGGAGACTCCAGCGCTGCGGCTCTGGCCCAGAACAACAGAGAAGGTGTGTGTGTGTGTGGGGGGGGTCTCTCGGTGTGTGTCGGTGTGTGTGTGTGCGTGTGCGTGTGCGTGTGTGTGTGTGTGTGTGGGGGGGGGGGGGGTCTCTCGGTATGTGTCGGTGTGTGTGTGTGGAAATATAAATACACTTTTGTTGTATTTCCTTGTGATGATTATTTTTTGTTTCCTCCAGACTCTGACGTGTCGTCCTCGTCGATGCAGGGGATTGAAGATAATCTGGTGCAGGAATACAGGAAGTGCAGTCAATACAGAGAGACCAGAGCAGAGCTGGGTACACACGCACACACACACACACACACACACACACACACACACACACACACACACACACACACACACACACACACACACACACGGAATCTACTGTGGAATTAAATCTGACAATTCATAATCAACCCAATTAACACTGACCTCCCCCTCTCCCTTTAGAGAGGATAACGGAGGGTAAGAAGTCTTCCTCCTCTTCCTCTCGCTCCAGAACCATCACCTATAAGACCGGTTTCTTCACTCAGTTCAGATGGGTTCTCAAGAGAACCTTCCAGAACCTCCTGTTGAACCCGCAGACCTCCTTCGCTCAGGTAACACATATAGATTTAAAATAGAAATAGAATATAATCTAAATATATATGTATTTTTGTATGCAGTTGCAACATCAATGAAGTACTTCTTATCTTATCTTCTTAAACGGTCTCATAACGGCCAAACGTGTGGTTTGAGCAGCACCTGGTGGCCGCTTGAGGAACTGCAGCCTCAGATACACACTGTTTTTTTTGTTTAAAATGCTACTTTTTAAATATTTTTCACCACTTTTTCTGAGTTTCACTGCCTTTACAATTCCACCAAAGACAATAACAATCATTAAAATGTAATCAACTAGATTTAAAAGCAATAAAAACAGTAATAATGGCAAAATAAATGATGATACAAGTGAATAGAAAAATGTAAATGCATAAAACCATTTTTTTTTTTTTAAAGAAGCCTGGCTTTTATCAGAGCTTTAACTACAGGATTAATTGATTTCTTATTTATATAAATTATGTATCTATTAATTGATCCATTATCTCTCTATTTTGCTCCTCAGATAGGAGTCACTCTGTTCCTCGCTCTGATCGTCGGATTCATTTTCTTCGGAGTGAAGAACGATGCGAGTGGACTTCAGAACAGGTAGCTATACTGTGTTTATATTAGTAAATAATATATACGTATAACGTGCTGGATTACAGTAAATATATGTTGTGTTTCAGGATGGGCGCCCTCTTCTTCGTGACAATAAATCAGTGTTTCAGCTCGCTGTCGTCTGCAGAGCTCTTCATCGCAGAGAGGAAACTTTTCATGTGAGTCTAAACACATCCTTTCCTCAAGTAGAAGTACAGATACTCATGTTTAAAAATACTTTGGTGAAAGTAGAAGTACTGACTAAACTTCTTTACTCAAGTCAAAGTAAAGAGGCTTTGAAATGTACTTCAGTAAAAAGTACCCATAACTAGCAGCTGCTTTAAAGAGTACCTGACCTCCCTTTATATTAATAGAACAATAATGTCATTGTTAGCTAATGAATGTTTCCATGCTGAACAACGGCAACATGACAACGTTTCCATTGGTCCCTCTTCTTTAGAGAAGACCAGGAAATGATGGATACACGGATCGTGTTCAAATCAATAGGCACGCAATGACTAAAGAATAATGATCACGCACCAAACACACATTCAGACTAAAGGAACCAGCTGTTTGGAAAATGAGAGAAGTAGAAAGTACAGGTATTTGTGTTCAATATGTAAGAAGTAGAAAGTACAGGTATTTGGGTTCAACATGTAAGAAGTAGAAAGTACAGGTATTTGTGTTCAACATGTAAGAAGTAGAAAGTACAAGTATTTGTGTTCAACATGTAAGAAGTAGAAAGTACAGGTTTTTGGGTTCAACGTGTAAGAAGTAGAAAGTACAAGTATTTGTGTTCAACATGTAAGAAGTAGAAAGTACAAGTATTTGTGTTCAACATGTAAGAAGTAGAAAGTACAGGTTTTTGGGTTCAACATGTAAGAAGTAGAAAGTACAGGTATTTGGGTTCAACATGTGAGAAGTAGAAAGTACAGGTATTTGTGTTCAATATGTAAGAAGTAGAAAGTACAGGTATTTGGGTTCAACATGTGAGAAGTAGAAAGTACAGGTATTTGTGTAAGTAAAAAGTCGTCAGAAAAATAAGTCGTGGAGTAAAGTACTGATACCAGAAAAATGTACTTAAAGGTGGGGTAGGTAATTCACTTCAGAAACACTTTTTGTTATATTCCATGGAATGCTCTTAACATCCCGATAGCAATCCATCCATCCATCCATCCATCCATCTTCTCTCGCTTATCCGCGGTCGGGTCGCGGGGGTAGCAGTTCCAGCAGAGAGCCCCAAACTTTCTTTTCCCTGGCGACATCAACCAGCTCTGACTGGGGGATCCCAAGGCGCTCCCAGGCCAGTTAAGAGATATAATCCCTCCACCTGGTCCTAGGTCTACCCCTTGGTCTCTTCCCAGCTGGACGTGCCTGGAACACCTCCCTAGGGAGGCGCCCAGGTGGCATCCTAACTAGGTGCCCGAACCACCTCAACTGGCTCCTTTCGACGCGAAGGAGGAGCGGCTCAACTCCGAGTCCCTACCAGATGACCGAACTTCTCACCTTATCCCTAAGGGAGACACCAGCCACCCTGCGGAGAAAACCCATCTCGGCCGCTTGTATCCGCGATCTCGTTCTTTCGGTCATGACCCATCCTTCATGACCATAGGTGAGGGTAGGAACGAAAATGGCCCGGTAGACAGAGAGCTTTGCCTTCTGGCTCAGCTCCCTTTTCGTCACAAAGGTGCGGTAAAGCGACTGCAGTACCGCTCCCGCTGCTCCGATTCTCCGGCCCATCTCACGCTCCATTGTTCCCTCACATTCCTCCAGAGTCAGAAAAAGTCAAAGTTAACTTTTGGAAGAACCATAGAAAATGGGTGAAAATGGAAAAAATGTATCCGAAAATAATGCCTCATATGCGGGTAGAGTCTCCTCAAACTCCCCTTACATTCCTCCAGTGGCCAGTTCAAAAACTTAAAGTTTGGTAAGAACCATGATTGGGGATCCTACAGGCAACAATTGTATCCGAGCCAAAGCACTCATGTAGCGGATACATTCCTCCATGATGTGAAACAGCCGTTTTTTTTTCTAAGTGCTCTCAAAAACCTGGTTTCCGATTTCGTGCAGATGGTAGCTTGGAAAAGATGAATGCATTTTTTCGACGGAGGAAGGGAGGTCTCGATTCCCCTCTCCGTTGTAAAATGCAACGGGGGAGTGGAAAAGTGTCCGGGGCTTCCGCCGGAAGCGCCGAAGACTTGAGCTTTTTGGAGCCCCTCCTCCGTTGGCACTTAGCCGTTTTTTCGAGAATTTTTTTAAACTTCATTTTTGATTATTTTAAGATATAATTGACCGTTTTCTTTACTTTTTTTTGCTTTCCACGGGTGGGCGCGCATGGCAGGCCACCTATGAGCTCCAAAATTCGGCCTGGAACCTCCGGGAATTGTGGGCTAAGCTCCATAAACTGACAAAGTCACCCAGAAATGTCACTTTAATAGCCCAAAAATATATAATACAAATACATTTAAATAGTAAAAGCTACAATTGTGCTCCTAATTACCCGCAATTTGATTTATTGCGCCATGCCCCATGATAGTGAATAAAAATCATTTTCATGGGAAAAAGTGTTAAAATGCCTGATTAATATGTTTGTAATGCTGGCACTGCTGTGTCAGCTTCGTGGACCCCAATTTAGCAGGACATGTCCATGATATTGACAAACATATTTATATACAGAATGATGATTATTTTATCCTCAGATCAGTGCTTTTATGCGGGTATCACTGCTGTTAGCAGGGTGTCAGCTTCGTGGACCCCAATTTAGCAGGACATGTCCATGATATTGACAAACATATTTATATACAGAATGATCAATCTCAATCTCAATCTTTATTTATTTATATAGCACATTTAAAACAACCTTCAGTTGACCAAAGTAACTACAATATTAAATAACACAATGGGAGTACAATAATAAAACAATAATTAAAAACATAATAAAAAAGCACAATAACTAGAAAAATATAACAAATAAATAAATAAAAAACACATACAAATATAAAAATGTAATGTTCAACTAGTATTAAAGCCAGTGCAAAGAGGTGAGTTTTTAGCTGAGATTTAAAAAGTTCAATAGACTCAGCAGTCCGGATATGTGCTGGGAGGCTGTTCCACAGTCTGGGAGCTGCAACACTGAAAGCCCCTCTGGTTTTTTTCCTGCTCCGAGGAACCACCAACATATTCTGCTGAGCTGAGTGCAATGCTCTAGCTGGAGCATGGCGGTGCAACAACTCAGACAGGTAATGTGGTGCCAGTCCATGCAATGATTTAAAAACAACAAGTAAGTACTTGAACTGGATCCTGTAACTGACAGGAAGCCAATGAAGGTCTGCCAAAACGGGTGTGATGTGGTCATAACGTCTCTTCCCAGTAAGAAGGCGTGCAGCCGCATTTTGGACCAGCTGCAGGCGACGGACATTTGTCAACACCAATATAGAGGGAGTTACAATAGTCTAAACGAGACGTTATAAATAAGTGGATTAGCTGTTCAAATTTCTTACTAGGAAGATAGGCTTTTACCTTCCCCAGAAGCCGCAGCTGGAAGAAGCTTGTCTTGACAACTGAGCTTATCTGTTTATCAAATTTAAAACAGTTGTCAAAGATGACTCCAAGATTTCTGACAGAGGGACGGCTGTAGGAGGCTAAGGGGCCGAGTACACTATTAAAGCCATCCAGGAGTTCAGACTGTCCAAATATTATAATCTCTGTCTTGTTTTCGTTAAGAGTCAATAAGTTAATTTCCATCCATGATTTTATGTCTTTCAGACAGCTAAACAAGGTACTCCTTATTTGCTTTTATAGACAGGTATACCTGCAGATCATCTGCAAAGCAATGGTAAGAAATGTTATGCTTTTTAAAAATTGACCCCAGAGGTAGTAAATACAGACTGAACAAAATGGGGCCTAGGATAGAGCCTTGTGGGACCCCATATGCTTGTGGGGCTGCAGCTGAACAATACTGGCCAAGATGCACAGAAAAGGTCCTTTCTGACAGATAGGATTGAAACCATTTTAGGACGTTACCTTTAAGGCGTGATAAAATAATTTGGTGGTCAATGGTGTCAAAAGCAGCAGACAAATCTAAAAGCACAAGCACAGCAGAATTCCCAGAATCAGCAGTTAAAAGAAGATCATTCAAAACTCTTAGAAGAGCAGTTTCTGTGCTGTGGCGTGATTTAAAACCAGACTGAAACTTCTCTGATATGCAGTTTAAAACAAGGTGTGACTGCAGTTGCGCTAAAACCACTTTCTCTAGGACTTTAGACAGGAAGGGAAGCTTAGAAATAGGTCTAAAGTTGGAGAGAACAGAATGATAAAGGTTCTGTTTTTTTATAAGAGGCTGCACTACAGCGTGTTTAAAAAAGGTTGGAACGTAGCCTGAGGCGAGAGAGATATTTATCAAAGTTAAAATATATGACCCAATAGTATTAAAAACGTCTGGGAGGAATACTGTCCAAGGGCTATTGTGATGGCTTCAATTTTTTAACCACATCAGATAACTCGGACAGTGAAACCAGGTCAAACTGCTCGAAGACAGCTGAGCACACAGGAGACACTGCTGGGTCTAAAGTGAGAGGAGGAGGTGAAGATCTGATGGCCAAGACTTTATCATTAAAAAATGAAATGATGATTATTTTACCCTCGGATCAGTGCTTTTATGCGGGTATCACTGCTGTTAGCAGGGTGTCAGCTTAGTGGACCCCAATTTAGTAGGACATGTCCATGATATTGACAAACATATTTATATACAGAATGATGATTATTTTACCCTCAGATCAGTGCTTTTATGCGGGTATCACTGCTGTTAGCAGGGTGATGATTTCTGAACATACCCAAACATTAGCAACGTTACAGGGCATACACACTTGATATAGGGACACTCGGGGTCGTTTGGACCACATCCACAAGGTTTGGGGGAAAAAGACACATTTTCTCCAAAATTGTCAATTTTGAGAAAAATGGACAGAATGAACAGACAAAGACCATATTTTGACCAAATTGAAACAAATGTACACGAGATGGACACCAGTGTCCATGGGGTGGACACAGACACATGCATAGAGCACCCCCAAGTGTTGAATGTGTGTAAGTACAGTTGGTCAAATTTGTCCTGTCGGTGGCAGGGACTTTGCATTTGAAGTTGACGTCACATTTCCATTGTGCGGACATTTGTACATTTGAAGGACAAGTCCCATGTTAACTCTGTCCATAAGGCAGACCTTTCCCTTACTCAAGAACAAGACCCCGAGATACTTGAACTCCTTCACTTGGGGTAAGGACTCATTCCCTACTTGGAGCGGACAGTCCATCGGTTTCCTGCTGAGAACCATGGCCTCAGATTTGGAGGTGCTGATCCTCATCCCAGCCGCTTCACACTCGGTTGCGAACCGATCCAGTGAGTGCTGAAGGTCGCAGACCGATGAAGCCATTAGAACCACATCATCTGCAAAAAGCAGTGGTGCAATCCTTAGTCCACCGAACTGCAGACCCCCTCCCCCATGACTATGCCTCGAAATCCGATCCATGTATATTACAAACAGGATTGGTGACAAAGCGCAGCCCTGGCGGAGGCCAACCCTCACCGGAAATGGGTCCGACTTACTGCCGAGGACCCGGACACAGCTCTCGCTTTGGGAGTACAGAGATTGGATGGCCCTGAGTAGAGACCCCCTCACCCCATACTCCCGCACCACCTCCCACAGTAACTCCCTGGGAACTCGGTCATACGCCTTCTCCAAGTCTACAAAACACATGTAGACCGGATAAGCGTACTCCCAGGCCCCCTCCAGGATCCTTGCGAGAGTAAAAAGCTGATCCGTCGTTCCACGACCAGGACGGAATCCGCATTGTTCCTCCTCAATCTGAGGTTCGACAATCGGCCTGACCCTCCTTTCGAGTACCTTAGAGCAAACTTTCCCGGGGAGGCTGAGTAGTGTGATGCCTCTGTAATTGGCACAGACCCTCTGATCCCCCTTTTTAAAAAGGGGAACCACCACCCCGGTCTGCCACTCCTTCGGTACTGTTTCCGACTTCCACGCAACGTTGATGAGACGTGTCAACCATGGCAGTCCCTCAACACCCAGAGCCTTCAGCATTTCTGGGCGGATCTCATCCACCCTCGGGGCTTTGCCACTGTGGAGTTGTTTGACGACCTCAGTGACCTCCCCCCGGGAGATTGGTGTTGATCCCCCGTCATAATCCAGCTCTGCCTCTAACATAGAGGGCGGAGTTGTCGGGTTCAGGAGTTCCTCAAAGTGTTCCTTCCAACGCCCTAACACTCCATCAGTTGAGGTCAACAACGTCCCATCCTTACTGTACACAGCTTGGATGGTTCCCTGCTTCCCCCTCTTGAGGTGTCGGACAGTTTTCCAGAACAACTTTGGTGCCGCCCGAAAGTCCTTCTCCATGTCTTCTCCGAACTTCTCCCATACCCGCTGCTTTGCCTCGGCCACGGATGAGGCTGCTGCCCTTCGGGCCTGTCGGTACCTTGCAACTGCCTCGGGAGTCCCCCGGGATAACAAATCCCTGAAGGCCTCCTTCTTCAGTCGGACGGCTTCCCTGACCACCGGTGTCCACCAGGAGGTTCGAGGGTTAGCGCCCCTTGAGGCACCTAGGACCTTGAGACCACAGCTCCCCACCTACGGCTTTGGCAATAGAGGCTTTGAACACCAACCACTCTGGTTCAATGTCCCCAACCTCCACAGGAATACCCGAAAAGCTCCGCCGGAGGTGTGAGTTGAAGGCCTCCTGAACTTGGGCCTCCTCCAGACGTTCCCAGTTCACCCGAACTACACGTTTGGGCTTAACAGGTCTATCCAGAGGCTTCCCCCGCCACTCGACCCAACTCACCACCAGATGGTGATCAGTTGACTACTCCGCCCCTCTCTTTACCCGAGTGTCCAAAACATACGGCCTCAGTTCCGATGATACGATAACGAAATCGATCATGGACCTTCTGCCTAGGGTGCTCTGGTACCACGTACACTTATGAGCATCCTTATGTTCGAACATAGTGTTTGTTATGGCCAATCCATGACTAGCACAGAAGTCCAGTAACAAACCACCACTCCGGTTCAGATCAGGGGGGCCGTTCCTCCCAATCACGCCCCTCCAAGTGTCTCCATCATTGCCCACATGTGTGTTGAAGTCTCCCAGCAAGATTAAAGAGTCCCCTTCAGGAGCCCCATACAGGACTCTTTCCAGGGTCTCCAAGAAGGCCGTATACTCTGAACTGCTGTTTGGTGCATAAGCACACACAACAGTCAGAGTTTTCCCCCCCCCCATAACCCGCAGGCGTAGGGAGGCGACCCTCTCGTCCACTGGGGTAAACTCTAACAACGAAGCACCCAACCGGGGACTTGTGAGTGGCAAGCCCGGCCACCAGACGCTCGCCGACGTGTCCTCCTTCTGGGCCTGGCTCCAGAAGGGGACCCCGGGCTTCCTCCGGGCCGGGTATCCTCACTTCTTGTTTTTTCTTTCATGAGGTCTTTTGAATAGCAATGAATATCTTAAGTGCTTTGACAAAAAATCCATAAAAAAATGTCATCAGTGGAAGCCGTGGCGCTGTAAAAAGCATGACCAGTCATCTGAGCCGGCCCGGCTAAAGTAACTGGATGGCCTACCTGCCTGTCAGCCTTCCATCTGTGCACAAACTTATCTTGTGCCCTCATTGGTCATGTGCGCGTTCGTGTGTTGGAGGAGGGGCTCTGTAAGGAAGTGGCAGCTCTGTAAGGAAGTGGCAGCTCTGTAAGGAAGTGGCAGATTTTTTCCGGCTGTGTATTTTCAAATTCTAGCGCACTCGAGCTGGTTTCTCCAAAATGACCTACCCCACCTTTAAGTACAGTAACAAAGTATTTGTACTCCACTACTTCCCACCTCTGGACATAACAGACGGGGATTTATATTTAAATGTTCCTGTTAATAACCCTCTGTGTGTGTTTTCCTCCTCAGTCACGAGTACATCAGCGGGTATTACCGTGTGTCGGTGTACTTCCTGTGTAAGATGCTGTCAGACATCATCGCTCTGAGGACGATCCCTGCCATCGTGTTCAGCTGCGTCTCCTACTTCATGATCGGTGCGTCCAACACACACACTCAGCTTTAAATATACCCAAACTATTCATTAACTATTTTAATATTTGAGTTTTTAATGTCGTGATTTATGACACCTTCTCAAGGTCCCGAAAGGTAATTACTTTTTTAATTGTATGTCAAATTAATTTGGGATGTTTTATAGGCGTTACAATTAATGCATACATCCCAAAAATAACCTAAATAATTACATTTTCTTGTGAATTTCTATTTACAATGTGTGTATTTAAAACATTCTAAATATTAAATAATCCCAAAAATATTAGTTGAAGAATAAATAATAATATTTAAAATAATTTATAAAAGTGGGGTGGACAGAAAATGTATTTAGATAAATGATTCCATAATAAAAAATTATAATAATTCATTTAAATAAGGTCCCGAAAGGTACATACATTCTTTAAAAATTGTCAATTGAAATCTTGATTGCATGTTGAATGAATTAAACTATTTGAAGTCTTTATATTTGGACTCTTTTGTATGTTTTATAGGCCTAACGATTAATCGATACGTCAAAAAAATAATACAAATAATTTATCTTATTTTATTTTCATATGAATTTTTATTTACAAATTAAAATTAAAATTCATACAAAATAAATGAATAAAAGAAGAAATAAAAATATTTAAAATCATTATTAAAAATGTATTTAAGTAAATGATTCCATAATAAAAAATAATAATAATAACAATTCATTTAAATGTAGACGGCAACTTCTTTCTAATACCCCTTTTAGTGCTTCGTCCTGTTAGCACCTTTATCTAATTTGTTTGTAGACATATTGAACATTTTCTTTGAATGTATTTGTTATTTTATTAACATTATTTGATCTCCTCTCCCTCACAGGTCTGAAGCCCACGGTGGCGGCCTTCTTCACCTTCATGTTCTCCGTCACCATGGTGGCCTACACAGCCACCGCCATGGCGCTCGCTATCTCCGCCGACCAGACGGTGGTCGCCATCGCCAACATCTTCATGACCATCGCCTGCGTCTTCATGATGGTGACACACACACACACACACACACACACACACACACACACTCACACTCACACACACACACACATACACACACACACATACACACATACCATGTATACATCACTTCAGGGGACATTACATTGACTTACATTTCCTGGAGAATTATCCTAACCTTAACCAACACCCTTACCCT